AAATATGATTCCGTAATGATGACGCATGACGTTGCAAGTATGGTACATGCACACAATGAACATTAGTCAAAGGGGTCTTTAGAGCATTGACCGGGCTCCATATCCACATTCTCGGTAAACATCCTGCTCCCTTCCATAGATTAAAGCAATTGTTGCTCTTTCCAAATCTCGTATAATGAATAATTCTGGATTTCCAGAATGCACAAAGCGAGATCATGAAAGATTATTTCATGATTTCCTTAAATTCTGCCTTGACATAATATATACAATTATGTCCCTTAATACACATTTACATCAAATGTAGACAGATTTTGCCCAAAACATCATTGACGGAGATTTTTAGATTATAACAATGGCTGATATGCACTACTTTAGTAGGTAAGAAAGTAGCATGAAATGAAGCTTAAAAAGTGTAGTTTCAAAATCCTGAAAACGATCCAGGAGGCCTAAGCAGGAAATCTTAAGATAAAGTAAAGAGCTAGTTTAAATTGAGCTGAATGTCATTACTTTAAGCCCAAATCAAGAGGCTAAGGCCCTTGCAAATTAATTATATTCGTCTTTTGGACTCATGTCTATCAGGTAGCCTTATTTGTAAGTTTCGGATGGATCCTATTTTTCGCATGGAAATAAAAGGGATTCAGTAAACTATCTGATGATTTTATTGAATAGAGGCTCTGGAAAAATATTAACAAATTACATTAAAACTAAAACTAGGCTTTGGAAAATTGTATTTGACAGCCAATTAAGGGGTTTCTGCAAAGTGCATGCACATACAGAAGAGTCATATGAGGAAGTAATTTAGCTTGTAAACAAGATTCATGACGAGCAACTTAAGGCTGTGTATAATGGAAGCTGAACAACACACAGCACCACAGTACAAAGCATCTAAAGGATAAGAAAACATAGAGTATGACAAAAAAAAGCATACTTGTGCCGTTACCATGGTAGAGGTCTTATCAAAGAGTTTAGAATATGCGTTGCCACATATTAAAAACTGAACTGAGGATTTATTGGGAAACCGATAACTTCTAAAAATTTGCTATCAGAATACACAGTAAATGATGTTATGTTGTAGGCCGTTCCAATTATATATGTATAAATATATATATTACTATTAGTAGTATTGTTATGCATTTGTATTTTTTTAAAGTATTTATTTAGTATTGCTTCAAATAGGCCATTCGGGTTTTAAATTAGTATCCACAAGGGAGCGAAATAGTTAAATAGCCAAAAGTATCTGCAGTAAAGCAAGAGAATCTTTTAATAGAAGTGGGTTGACCTCATTGTCTACTAAGTCGCCCTGACAACAAGACCAAGTTTGTGACAACGAGGTCCAGCCACTTGTATACATCGAGAGGAGACTGCGACCATACCAGAGGCCACATAATCTTTTAATGTTATAACAGGGTTCGAACCCATAATCCGACAGGGGCTAGCAGAACTTTGACCTTTTTACTTTCTACAACGATAATATTTTATGCAAACAATGTTAACATACAACATTCACCGTAAATGCCAGTCTACATTTCCTCTGTACCACTTCGAAAATTCAGGCGATCATCTTGAGAACTGGTCGGAGGCAAAGCTGCGCTACATAACGACAACTGTGCGCACAAAAAGCGGACGATTGATAGAGAAACGCTTAGCCATATCGGAGGACGACTATCATCAGTTGAAAAGTGGCGGAAGCCTGGAAAAGATTCTTGGCAAATATTTGGGAGTAGATGACGGTGCGCGCATTGAAGGCTGGAAGGAACCTGTCAAGCCTGGCATGAAACAGGTGACGGAATTGAATGTTGTCAAGAATCATTTTCTTTTTCCGTAACTTAGAGAGGGTTAGTAGTAATAAAGCCTGTGAGTGAGTTTTTGTTACACAGAATCATGCGTTTATTTCAGACACTAGATCAGCTTGTATTGCGCTTGTAGGTCTTTTATTGAATGCACATTATCAAACTCGATGCAACGCCCCTGGCAACTTTATATTTTCATCTCGTCCTATTCTAAAATTAATTGCAACCAATGCTAAGTACAAGTTGCATTAAATGTAGGTTTACAGTTTTTTGATCAGTCAAATTTGATAATTTGATCAAATAATTTAATGTCATAAAACTGTCCATTTATATGCTAAATTATGATGTTTTGATTATGCTGAAACACACATGCTACTTAATTAAGTAGTATCAATTATTG